TTTAAGGTAAAAAATTGAAATTAAAATATATAAGTTCATGTGATGTTTCTAATTTTTCGTATTTGAATTCAAGATGAATGCCAACAAGGTAGCTATTAATGTGTGCAACGCTTACAGAAATGAACATCTGACCATCATTTTGGTTTGTACCATCTGACCATCATTCATATGCCAAAATAAGTGTAAATCTTTTGGCATAACGTTCTCTTGCTTGATTCATCGTTCAACCATAAAATCCAATCCAGTTAAGCTTATAAGATGATTCGTAACTTATTGAAATGGAAAATTTACACAAATTCTTATATATGTGGCCTGCTTGGTTTCCTGTGATATCTAAGGTCATCATTTTTAAGAAAATGCCACTTTCTGAGTAATATATTTGGATTCGTATTTGTAATTAACATGGAAAAAAATAATTCTCAATCACCAAGATCTAAATTATCTATTTTGATGAATTTGTTGGATAAGCATTATTTTTTCTCTCATCAGGTACGTACTATATATAATGCTACATAGCCTAGTGGATTTCTCAAACTAATCATATTGTCATAAAAACATATTTGATACTTTTCTTTCAACTGGTGGAATCCAGTATTCATTTTCTTCTGCCGCTTCAACTTTGGTTTAGTTTTGTGAAAAAATGCAGGACATACTTATTAGCTTTTTCATATTTTGCATTGCTTCATCTCAGTTACTTGGTATTGTGTACAGCAAAACAACATTTGATGTTGTCAAATTTGGTGCTGTTGGAGATGGACAAACTGATGATTCCGAAGTAACTTCTCTTTCTTTCAATTGTGTCTATAGGCATTTAATATTCTTTTGTTAGATAGCCCGACATATTAATGTACATTTTGTTTTTCTTTTATTCCATTTTCCATTGTCTTATATTCTTGACTTTGCATGATATAGGCTTTTGTAAAAGCATGGAAAGCCTTATGTGGAGCAGCTGCAGCTGGTGATGACGTACCAACACTTACTATACCAGGGAGAAAAACATTCTTATTGCAGCCCTCGGAATTTGAAGGTCCCTGCAAATCAAAGAGTGTTCATGTTCAGGTAAGACAACACTAAAATATATATAATTAGCAGTGACAATCAATCTTAACAAATAAACTCAACTATTTCAATTGTGATTAGATTTTTATTTTTTATTTTTCCTTTCCTATTCCTATTGGGGGTGGAGGGCAGGTCTCGGGGAATTTGATGGCACCCAAAACGCCCGATGCATGGAAAGTGTGTCCACCATATAGTTGGCTTTCATTTAGAAATGTGGACAATCTCATACTCGATGGTTCAGGAAAAATTGACGGCCAGGGTTCAGCTTGGTGGAGCAAAGTGAGCGAAAATAGCTTTTTTATAAATGTAAAACTCTGTTCACATCTGTCGAAATTCTACT